ATAAAACTATTGTTATAGTGTTAGCTATTATTTTATCTACATAAGAATAGATTACTGCAACGCACTCTACGTGGGGTTGCCTTTGAAGACTGTTCAGAAACTTCCATTAGTCCAGTGGGCGGCAGCTAGATTACTCACCGGAGCATCATACAGGGAGCATACCACCCGCCTGTTATGTCAGCTCCACTGCCTGCCGATCCAGTTCCGAGCACAATTCAAAGTGCTGGTTTTGACCTACAAAACCCTATATGGTTCCAGCCCAGCGTATCTGTCCGAACGCATCTCCTTCTACGTCCCGCCTCAGAGTTTAAGATCTTCTGGGGAGGCACTGCTCTCGGCCCCACCGCTATCACAAGTGAGATTGGTGGGGACGAGGAGCAGGGCCTTCTCGGTGGTGGCCCCTCACCTGTGGAACTCACTCCCCGGGGAAATTAGGTCATCGACATCCCTCCTCTCCTTTAGAAGGAAATTAAAAACATGGATTTGGGACCAGGCCTTCAGGTAATCTGGCGGATAGATAAGGCACAAGTGACGACCAGAATTGTTGGATTGCACAATGTGGAATTTGAATTTACGGACTATGAGATTATAAACGCTGAGCACTAGATTGTTTTTAAGGGTTGTGATATATAATGGATTGTTTTAATTGTCTTAACTGCCTAATTGTTTAATTACTGTTTATATGTTTTATTCTTTTACCTTGTTGTTGTGCCGGCATCGAATTGTGCCTTTTTGTAAGCCGCCCTGAGTCCCCCCTCGGGGGTTGAGAAGGGTGGGGCAGAAGTGCGAGAAATAAATAAATAAGAGGTTGAGACCCACATGGCGCTGCTCTGGTTTTTCTCTATATTTTGCTTTTAAATATATATTTGTCTCTTGTTCCAAGCAACGCCTGCGTTGTTTTTACCTATTCTTGAATTTGGAAGCTGTTTCCCTGCCCGATGAGTTACAGGCTGAAGCATATTTTTTTGTCTGAGTCTGAGAAAAAATTACAAAAAATCTTTGCAACACCAATTAGCATCACCATTAGTCAATTTTTGAAATCCAGAAGGTTGCATTCCAAATATACCTGTCTTGACAGCTCTGTGGATTCCATGAGGAATTCTGTTTGCCTTGAAGTTATAACCATTTTCTATCAGGATTTAATGCTCTTCACTGGGATATCCCCAGTGATGGAGAATTTCACTCTGCAGCAAACCACACATTTTTTTAACAGCTTAAAAAAAAGCTTTCTGAGAGCATGTATTTGGATTATAGAGATTTACAGAGCATGTAGTTATACAAGAATGAACCTAGGTCTTATGAGGCCAGCACTTACCTGTTCTTGAATAAACTGAGTGCCAACAGCATGGGTGGAGCTGAGCCTGTCATTTTTACACAGGATAACATGAATAAAATTCAATTGTTCTTCCAAAATGTCTCCCTCTCTGCCCAATGATCTCAAGTTTCTCATTAACAGATAGATAAGAAAAATGCTATGATATATTAACAATCGCGGGGGGGGGGGGGGCTATAATTTAAAAATCATCAAGGGAGGCTCTGTAGTTCCTAATCTTAAAATGTGTCATATGGCATTTCAGTCAAGAGTTTATTTTCACATGAAATTATACAGAGGTAGCCCTAGGTAATTTTCAATGGCAAGCAAACAGTATTTTGGTGCCCCGCCCCCCTCCAACCAATCACTGATATATATATATATATATTCTGTTTGTCGTGGGAGTTCTGTGTGCCATATTTGGTTCAATTGCATCATTGGTGGAGTTCAGAATGCTCTTTGATTGTGGGTGAACTATACATGCCAGTAACTATAACTCGCATATGTCAAGGTCTATTTTCTCCAAGAGTGCCTCAAGAGCGCCCCTGGGCAAAATCAACTATACTGCAAATGCTTACTTTGCATAATGGGTTGAGCCGTCCCTGAAGTTACATGGTTTGAATGACAATCAAGCGAGCTCTGTTTTTTTTTTTTCTTGAAATGGTGGCTTTATTGTTCCAGGGCCATAGCCGGGGGGGGGGGGGGGGGTGGGGTAAAAAGTTAAACTCTGTTTAGATTTTTAAAGGTTACAAAAGAAACCTGGTTTACTCATAACTTGGTTAACCAGTTAAAATTCTTGAGTAAACCAGGTTTTTGGGGGGTGGTTAGAACTCTTAACCCCCCCCCCCCCCCAAGCTATGGCCCTGAGTTGTTCTAACATAGGATACAATTGAAAATCATTTCTATATAGAAATAAAAAAAATCCCTTAAATACTACATGAACATTCTAATTTCACTTAATTGTTTTTGTAAAATTAATATATTATTCATTTTCACAAATTCCATGATGCACACATTTCTTATTTTATGAAGGACCCACACCTTAAAATACTGGGAAGTTTTGGCATTTTGTTTAATTTGTATAAAAGGAAAGGCTTTCAGGTCGATATAACAATATATGGGAACCATCACAATATGTGAGCTCACTTTCAGATGTACCTCAGTAATTCCTGTACTGCCACTACCATCAGGGAAATTTGTAGATGAATGAGAAGGAAAATTTCAAATATATTTATAACTCTCAGAATGGAAGTAGGAAGTCATCTTTACATCTCCTATATCCAGGGGCGGCTCAACCCATTACGCAAAGTAAGCATTTGCAGTATAGTTGATTTTGCCCAGGGGCGCTCTTGGGGGAAAATAGACCTTGACATATGCGAGTTGTAGTTACTGGGATGTATAGTTCACTTACAATCAAAGAGCATTCTGAACTCCACCAATGATGGAATTGAACCAAATATGGCACACAGAACTCCCACGATGGTGGGATGTGTGTGTGTGTGCCAAAATACTGTTTGCTTACCGCTGAAAATTACCTAGGGCCGCCTCTGCCTATATCTTATTCTTTAGATTTTTCTATGTTTAAGTTTCTCCTTTTTGAGTACCATTGAATGTTTCATAGATATAGAAAAAAATGAATAAAATGATATTTAAAAACTGAAAGATTGAAATCCAGGTCCGGATGATGGTCCAAATGGGGACCAAGCATCATTCCTGGAATCCATGTCAAACTAGGTGTACAGCAGTGTTTCTCAACCTGGGGGTCGGGACCCCCGTGGGGGTCGTGAGGGGGTGTCAAAGGGGTCGCCAAAGACCACCAGAAAACATAGTATTTTCTGTTGGTCATGCAGGTTCTGTGTGGAAAGTTTGGTCTAATTCTATCAGTGGGGTTCAGAATGCTATTTCATTGTGGGTAAACTATAAATCCCAATAATTACAACTCCCAAATGGCAAGGTCTATTTTGTCCAAACTCTACCAGTGTTCGTATTTGGGCATATTGAGTATTTGTGCCAAGTTTGGTCCAGATCCATCATTGCTTGAGTCCACAGTATTCTCTGGAAGTAGGTGAACTACAACTCCAAAAAACTCAAGGTCAATGTTCACCAGACCTTCCCAGTATTTTCTCTTGGTCATGGGAATTCTGTGTGCCCAGTTTGATCCAATTCCATCATTGGTGTTAAAAAGGCTCTTTAATTTTAGGTGTACTATAAATCCCAGCAACTCCAGCATTACCAAATGACAAAAATCAATCACCCCCCAACCTCACCAGTATTCAAATTTGGGCTTATTGGGTATTTGTGCCAAATTTGGTCCAGTGACTGAAAATACATCCTGTATATCAGATATTTACATGACGATTCATAACAGTAGCAAAATTACAGTTGTAAAGTAGCAACGAAAATAACATTATGGTGGGGGTCACCACAACATGAGGACCTGTACTAAGGGGTCACGGCATTAGGAAGGTTAAGAACCACTGGTGTACAGTAACCCTAAATATAAACTCCATTTATTCAGTTGGTTTACACAAGTGTAGACTACTAGAGACATTCAAAAAGAAACCTGCTAGAAGAACTCTTCTTTGGTATATAAAGGGAAAGCTATAGGAAGAAGATCTGCAATGGAGCACTTTATGCACATTACAAGAGTGTGGAAGTTGAGGAAAAGCATATGTATAGTAAGATGCACTGATCTTCAGCAGAATATCTCCAAAAATGTAGCAGGAAAAATTACACTGTTGCTCAGAACTGTTTTGAAGAAGGTGAGCTGATGTTACTGAAGGCCAGAATCTCACCAAACTAACTGCAAAATATGCCAGGAGATAGTTAGGGTATATTTTGACTTTCAACTTTTAGAAGCAAGTGTTAGCCATATTTTTTCTGGAAGAGCTGATTGTTTCCAAATCATATGTAGGCTAATTCATAAGAAAAGCAACCAATTACTGTATTAGAAAAACAAAAACAAAAAATAAAACTACTTTTCACAGTGGACATATTTTTTAGGTATATGCTATAATTTGGAACCACCAAAAACCACTTAGCAGGAGCAATTGTAGAAAACTGGAAATGACTTTCTTTCATTTTCTTATGAGAAATCAGTGCAAAATCTGTTTCTTTATTATCAGTGCTAACATTCCTCAAGTCAATAGTAATGTTAAGATAACAATCTGCAATTACATAGAACAAAACTTGAAGCAGCAAAAGCCAAAAGTATTTCAATTTATACAGCCAAATAAAAAACACAAAAGAGTAAAATGCTTGGGTCTTCATCTGTCATAATAAATAAAATGTAGACATATGGTAAAAAAAAAATTGAAGATGACATTCTATTCTGTATTCCACAGATACATATGACACATCATTTTATGACTACCACCATCACCACCACAAGGAGGAAAGCCTCTAAAGGTGGTCTTATTATCTTCCAAAAAGGGGGGAAAATACAATACAGGTATGACAAGGTGGCACATAGAGTTTTTTGTTCCATGACTCATGGACTTTCCATGGCTGCAGAAAGCGAATTTGCTGTGAAACTTGATTCCACTGGTATTTGGCTTGTGGCATTGAAATAGTTTTCTACACCTGATTTGATTGCAACAGTTATTCATTCTATGAAATAACATAATAATTGTCTAGTAAATCAGTTTAGTTGCTGATCCTAAAAAATATTCTGATCAGAGCACTCTGTTTAGGGAAAATTCTGAATGATTTCAACTATTTCATCATATACTTCTTGACGTGCATCAAGCCCGAAAAGAAAATCATAATGCATCCAATGAGGGATTTCTTTGTAGTATATGAGATTCTGAAGAAGAGGTAGTAACTGTTTAGTATCCTTTAGTGAGGCCATTATGTCACGTTCACCACTCCATATTGCAATTGGTACAGCCATTTCTTGAATGTTGTATGCAGGAGGGGCAACCTAAAGAGAAGGGAACAATCAATCAGCAAATGTAAACAATATAGCACACGATCAAAGGCCTCAGGAGAAATCCATCTTCAAAGGCTTGCTAAAGCAAACGTGTCTACAACCAGAAGGAGAACACAAGTTTAGCTTCTCTAGGAATGGAATTATCCTGAACATGTCCACTTTCAGTCAAGTATAAAAGACCAGGGAGATTTTAATTGGATTGCTAATACCCTATATGTTGTTGTTCATTTGTTCAGTCGTTTCCGACTCTTCATGACTTCATGGATCAGTCCACGCCAGAGCTCCCTGTTGGTCGTCACCACCCCCAGATCCTTCAAGGTCAATACCCTATATATTCATCTATAAGTCTAGAAGTTTTTGCCAAAGACCCAAAAAACTTGGGATTATTTCCCCACAGGTTTATGTGAGTACTGTACCTTATCTCTTATCAAAGAAGAAAGCATCTCCTTCTCTGAGTAGAGTAACAAAGGGCAAGAGCTTAGTCTCTACTAGGAGAATCTAAAAAAGTACTGACCACGCTCTACTCTCTCTGGCATAGTACTTCTCCTGGACTTTTGAATTCCTGGGCAAGGAAATGGTGGCAGTGGCCAGACATGAGGTGACATTGACGTTTTCACTTCTCCATGGAATTACTCTCATCTTATCCATGGATCATATTAATATCCATAATTTTAAACTTATACACAAGGTTGATTTATATGGTATTTATGCTAATGTATTGGCTAATTTGCTTGGGATTGCTCTAGTTTACACCAAATAACCGTGTTTCACATTTCCCTGCTTCACATCAAAGCTGAATATGTCTTAAACAGTGATCCCATCTTTCAAAATAAAATTAACTTGGTATGTAATAGTTTTTGCTTTATTCTTGTTTATCTGAAAGAGCATTTTCTTTTGTTTAAAGAAATCAATTAATAAAGCTTTGTTTACCTGACTATATTTCATGATATTCTCAGAACCATAATCAAAAGACTTGAATATTCCACTTGTCTTTATCTAAAAAGAGAAAAAAACGAAGGTAACGTTGTTGTTTTTTTAAGATGTTTTGAGTTTTACAAATTGGAGAAATGAAATAAAGTAGATTGAAAAACAGATCTTAGTTTTATTAGAATATGTATAATTGTGTGATATAGTTCATATATTTGTATAATGTTTGAATGGTGTGTGTATAATATAACAGAAATCTTATGAGGTCAATATTTAGAAATTCATTTATTTCAATTTTCCTACTATATCAAAAAATTAGGAAGGCTTACAAAGAACTTTAAAATAACAGGTTAAACAGTTTTAAAAAGTAAAAAAATTCTAATTTAGGACCTAATCACATAAGTGAATTTTAGCATCCTAGAATGCTTGGAAGATGCTAGGAGGATGACACCTGCTGGATGCCATCAGACGACACACAGGTAATGCTGGCTGGGATCCATCCTTCCAGAATCCTGGCAACATACTAGGATAGGATGCTTCCCAGAGAACACAGGAGGCGTTCATAGGAAAGAATGGGGTGAGCCTGGGGGGAAGCCAGGAAGTGACACTCCACCTTGTGGGATGGGTAACAAGGCAATGCGGGATACAGGTGATGGGTTCCCTCACTACCCACCGGATTTGCCATGCTACATGGCAAATTCCCCACTATTGCCTGCAAATTGGACCTCAATATGATGAGGTCTGTGGTGAACCCTTACCTATTAGCAGCCAGGATGCAGGGCCTGGAGAAGCCTGAAAGCTTGGAAAGATAGGAAGTGGGCATGGTGAAGCGGCCATTTTAGAGTATGGAGACACCATCTTAAGAGTAGTTTCAGAGAGGGGGGCGTGTTTTAGGCAATAAGACAGCAGGAAATGGCCAGGATTGGTGTAGAATAAGGGGGCGGAGCTTTAGTGAGCTGACAGGAAAAAAGTAGTGTTTTGGAGTTAGTATGGGAGTTGGCAGTTAGGAGTGAACAGTTGTAGTTTAGGAATTGCAGTGAAGAGTTGAAGGAAGTCTAACTTGGTATAGATTCTATATAGTTGCTTCTAGGAAGAACTATTGCTAGACAGACCCTGAGGAATTGGGCTGTTTGTAGGGAAGAATCTGTTTAAGGGGAAAATATAAATTCCCAGTTTGAAAGTTGTGACTGGAACTTAATTCAAGCACTGTACTATTTATGAAACCAACAAGCATTCTGTACCTGAATATTTTCAAGATTGTTTAATAAACGTTTTATTCTAGTTCACACTACCCCAGCCTGTGTGTGTGAATATCTTAGATAAGTATACAATCCCTCTGAAGAAGAACAAACAGCATTGTAACACAGAAGATTGTGTTACTTGGTTTCCTCAGCACTAAAAATAGAAAGGTGGCAGCATACCCAAGGGGAAGAAACAGTTACAATAATTCTCAGTCAACAGTCAGTATACAGCCAAAACTTACACAGTTTATATCCTTCTCCCTGTTAAACAAAAGAAGAGTTCCTTTCTGAGTAAATCAGCCTTTATAATTTGGTTAGTCCTTTACAGTTGGTGGCCGCCCTACATATTGGTGTCAATGAGAATGATTGGATCCATCATATTGGTTTGCAGCATTTATATTTGTTCTGCAATCGTTATAATTTGGTGGCAGCTCGTGAGATTGCGCGATCGAAGCTTTATAAGGTCCTAATTAAACATAATGAGTTAAATCAGATTTAAAAGATTAATAAAGTACTAGATCTATGTACTAGGGTTGGATAGGTTCGCTCGGATGTGACGTAATTCAGAAAAAATTGGATGCTTTTGCCTTCCAAAGGGACTTCCGCCATGTTTCCACAAGTGTTTCGACTCACCTTGCACAATTGATTTCAGGGATGTGAAAGTGAGTCGGAACTATGATGAAGCATTTTTAATGTAACTAAGCTTGCTGGGAGGCGAAACCTAAATTGCTTGCCTCCCTGCCAATCAGAGGTTACGTTTTGAGGAGGGGAGGGGTTTGCAGCACTAACCTTTAAGGTCTTATATGGTCTGGGGTCGGCGTACCTGAGGGCCCGCTTATCCCCCTACCAACCCCAGAGATTACTTCGGTCCGAAGACCAAAATTTGCTTGAAGTCCCCAACATCCGGACTTATCATCTGTCCTCTACTAGGCAGAGAGCCTTCTCGATTGTGGCCCCTTATTTATGGAATGGCTTGCCAGTTGAAACCCGAACCATCCGAGAGCTACTTGCTTTTCGGAAAGCCTGTAAAACCTTTCTTTTCCAACAAGCTTTCGATGGGTGAATAACTCGGGATTATGTCTGTTCTCTTTTTTAGTATATTTTAAAGTTGGTTGTATTGTTTTAATCTACTGCTGTAAACTGCTCCGAGCCAAATTGGGAGTGGTGGTATACAAGTCAAATAAATAAATTTTTTAAAAAATAAATTACTGGAAGGCTCATTGGCAGCCAGGAAAGGAAGAGGGGAGATTGGACCGTTGTTGCTGCTGCTGCTGCTTGTTGCTGTTGCATGTGGGGTGGAAAAACGGGTTTGGAGCCAGAGGAAGAAGGAATTTTGGATAACGGAGGAAGGCAAGGGAGAAGAGAAGATTTTGAGAGAGGAAGGGTTTGGAGCCAGAGACGAGAGAGAAAGAAGGAAAAGTTTCTTTGGGAGGTGGGAAGATAGTGGCATTAATAAAGTCATTTCTGGAAACTTCTTTTTTGCTCACCACTAAAGCTTTGCTATTTTTATTGGGGTCTCTCCCTGTTTTCTGGGGTCTATATTTTGAACATGCCCTAACAGTTCTTCCTAACAGAAGGAAAAATGTGTTTGGGAGGGAGAGAGAGAGTGAAATTAATAAAGTCATTTCTGGAAACTTCTTTTTTGCTAACATGTCCTAACATGTTGAAATTTGGTATGCTAACAGAGGAGGAAGTCTTGTAGCAGCATATCAAGTTTCATCAAGATTTGTGTAAAAATGAGGGAGGGAAAAGGCCCTGGAGTTTCCCCAGTGCCAGTGCTGTTTTCTGCATAATGCACAATCGTGTCTGCCATTAACAAAGCAATTTGGAAGTTTCTGAAAGTTCCAACTTTTTTTAAAAAATCATGACTTTAGAGTCGAACCACCAGCGCCCCCCCTACATCCGAAACAAGTTTTGGATCATTTCTTTTTATTAACCAAGCCTACATCAAGATTTTAAACACATTCATTGAGAAGATCAACGATATCTTGGCTCAATCAAAATTGAGACTTCAGAAGGGGAGTAGAACTTGAGAGGGCACCTATGAAGAAACTATGATTGTTCATGCCAATGTATTTCCACTTTCTATGTATGGGTCTGAAAGTTAGAGAGTTAAAAAGACTGACAGAAGGAAAATAAAGAGATCACACAACCTGTGGCTAGACTCCATCAAGGAAGCCATATGTCTGAGGATGAAAAAATCTGAGCAGGTTATTGATGGCACGATGAGTTGGAGGACTCTCATTCATATTGTCACCATAAGTTAAGATTGACTTGATGGCAGTTAACAATAACAAAAGGTCTTGAACAGCTAAGTTTTCATTTTGACACCTAAAATAATTCAATATAGGCAATTAGAAGGGGAGATCATTCCATGAGGGGGCTGCCATGGCTGAGAAGGATTTCTCCACCAGGTACAACAAAGAGTTCTTGCTAATTTCCATTCACGTTTTCCTCCAACACCTATACTATCTACACTCTAACCATTATCTAAGTTGTTGTATGGAGCCCCCGGTGGCACAGTGGGTTAAAGCCCTGTGCCGGCAGGACTGTAGACCAACAGGTCGCAGGTTCGAATCCGGGGAGAGGCGGATGAGCTCCCTCTATCAGCTCCAGCTCCTCATGCGGGGACATGAGAGAAGCCTCCCACAAGGATGATAAAACATCAAAAATCATCTGGTGTCCCCTGGGCAACGTCCTTGCAGACGGCCAATTCTCTCACAACAGGATGCTCCTGACACGACAAAAAAAAACTTGTTGCATTACCCTCAGGTCTTCTATGGGTCAATTATAGCTATCAAAGTACAGAATTGGGCGCTGCAGAGCAATTGCACTGATAACCATTTCCATCTCTCAATCCCATAGTGAGAAAAAGGCCATGATAGACTTGTCAGCCTAAACATTCCCCGTAGTGTACAGTATTCCTCCAGATATCATGAGCCTCCAGTAATGGGCAATTTCATTAAAGGTCTCACCTCTACAGAATTCCCATAAAGACTATTTAAAAGAACAGGCAGAAGAGATTACTCTGGATAAGTTTACGGCATTGACAGCAATTATTAAAAACTGATTTCCAGTTAGATGTGAACCCAATTTATTCATTCATTTTTATATTCTACAATTACTTTTATCCTATGCATTAGTATTAAAATTAAATTTAAAAAATGTAAATATCTACCTGTGCCCAGTGTAAAAGATTTTTGGTAGATGTGCAGCCTGGTAAATGTGATGCAAAGACATCCATGCGACTCTGGAGGAGGAAAAGAACAGCAATTTCAAGGAAAAATGAGTCTACATGAGTATATTTGTCATGACGTTCCAAACATGTCTGATTAATTAAAATAAACTACTCATACCATGTTCACATTATTTTTACTAATTCCACCTGCTGAAAAAAGGATCTTGGCACAAGTGTTTCTCCAGAAGTCCTTGTCACACGTTTTAGCAAAGAATGTCCGCGTGTTATCATGTAGAACACAAAATTCTTTCTTACCAAAGATAGTCTGTAACATATAACGACAATGCTCATGTTAAATATTCAGTGCATTGGCTCAGTTTTCCCTGTTTTTAGATAAAAGAAATAAAAAGTCACATCACGTGGCACATCTCATACCACTTCATTTGACCCACTCAGGCAGTGAATCAACATGTGAGTAAAGGAATATAGCTTGCTTGCTACCATCCTATTCCAGAAAACTGGCAGCTGCTACTTCTTGGGCCTCATAGCATGCTTTGACTACAGAAATTCATGGAAATGTCCATATGTCCATCTCCCTTTTTATGTTCTCTGAACTGAATCAATATATCCTGTTTTTAATCCCTTCTTCAGTGGTGTTCTCCATTGCCCTCCCAGCTTTATGTCATGTAAGAGAAGTGATTTCATTCATAAATGAAGAAAGGTGGGAAACTGCACTTGGGATACCATTACAGTGCCATCAATCACGAATACTAGGTGCCTAGACTCACAAACTAAATACCATATGTGCAGAAGTTATTAATATTTTGCATGTTTTAAACTGTATATATATGTGTTTGGGTTAGCTACAGTAACACTGGAGCAGCCTATTTCAGAGATCCTCAGTCAGCGTTGCCATGGAGACCAAGGCAAGCTGGCAGAAGGAGGAGTGGGAGGAGCCAAGTAGAGAGAGTTTTGAAAACAAACAGTTGGAGAGTCAGTTAGGAGTTGATTTTGTATCTGAGAGGAGTAAAAGAGTGGAAGTGAAGAGTAGAGTGGGAGAGTGAAGTGTGAAGCAAAGAATTGTGGCTTTGGGAAGCCTGAATAGCTACTGGAGGTTTCTCAGTGTAAGGAGGTTGAAAGGAGAAACATAGCCAGTTTTCTTTAGTCAAGGGAAAGGGTAAAGGATAAGCTTGTTATTTTATTTGATCAAGGAAAGATCAAATAGGGAAGATATTCCTGTACTGAAACATTGTTTAGTAATAAGAGCTTCACCTCAGTAAGATACTGTGTAACCTGGAAGAGTGAAACGTTTAACTAACCAAGTATTATTCAAAGTTCTATAAAATAAGTTACAACTTGCAACCACACGCTTTGTACTCAATAAACCAGTTATCTTTTGTTAAAGACAGTCTCGTCTCCATCCATTCTGCGTCTGTATTGCCATATCTCACAGTAATACCTCATACCTCACGTTGGTAGCAGTTACCATAGATTACATATAACAATTGGCCTCCACTATACCAGTTGGTGGCAGAATTCAGAGAAATAAATAATAAATCTCCCTCTACTCTCCTGTCACACGACAGCACGGGTGCTTTCTCTCCACTCTGATCACCTCCTCCTGTAGTAGAGATTTACTACGTTGAGGCTAGGATACCATTAGTCCTCTGGATGTTTGTCCTACCACTCTCCAGTCTGATCCAACAGGATCAATTGTAAGGTAATGTAGAAGTTATAACCCAAAACATCTGGAAGGCCAAGATTCCCTGCATGGTAGTCCTTTTCACTGAATACAAGATATTATTTTACATACATGCAGTTTTTATGATTAAAAGCGTGCTACGAATTCTATTTCAAAACTTATGTAGTACAGTATGATTCCTGTATCCCCCAAAGGATATGTTCCAGATCATCTTGAAGATATGTGAAACTGCTATTAATAGCAAAGATTGGATTACTGCAATGCACTCTACGTGGGGCTGCCCTTGAAGACGGCTCAGAAATTTCAGTTGGTTCAACGGGCTGCAGCCAGGCTACTAACTGGAGCGACTTACACGGAGCGATCAACTCCCCTGTTTAAGGAGCTCCATTGGCTGCCATTCATCTTCTGGTCCCAATTTAAGGTGCAGGTTCTTACCTACAAAGCCCTGAACGGTTTGGGACCCGCCTACCTGCGTTACCGCATTTCTGTGTACGAACCCACACGATCTCTTCGTTCATCTGGAGAGGCCCTGCTCTCACTCCCGCCCCTTTCGCAGGTGCGATTGGTGGGGACGAGGGAGAGGGCCTTCTCTATGGTGCCCCCCCCTGACTCTGGAACTCTCTACCTAAAGATATCAGACAAGCCCCCACTTTGGCAGTCTTGAAAACGTGGCTGTTCCAGTGTGCCTTCCCTGAATGAAGGAAATAATGCCCGATATGACCAATTTCCTCTATGCGTCCTCTGAAGCACTTTATCTATCCGTTGGATTGATCCCCCATATCACTCTTTAAAAACCCCATGCCTAGACACACCCTACTCTGTACACGCCCAGGGTTTTAAAATTTTAATCTACATCTGGCCCTGCCATAATGTTTTAAAATCTTTTGTGTTTTATTGCTTATATGTTTAACTGTATTATTTATATTGTTTTATTTGCTTGCTTGTTTGTTGATGTTTTGTTGTATTTGTATTTGATGGGCTTGGCCTCATGTAAACCACCCAGAGTCCCTTCGGGGAGATGGTGGGGTATAAATAAATTATTATTATTATTATTATTATTATTATTATTATTATTATTGGATTACTTCAACAATTTATTTAAGAGCTTAGAACTCACTAAAATACCATATGCTTTGGGAGTAAATAGCAAATTCATACTTTATTTGTGTCTTAGGACCTCATCACAAAGGTGAGGCACTTCCTCTGGCTTTGCTAAGAAATAAGAGCGACAGCAGGGTGAATCCATCAGCCTGCATGTAGCTCTCTCTCGGTGACACTTTCCCCATCACATGGAGAAATCATCCCCCTCCTGGCAAGTGCCCATACTGGTTCAATTAGAGCCAGTACAACATGGGAAGCACTCTGTGTTGCGGGGAAAGCATCCAGTGACACTCTCACCCCGGTTGGGGCAGGGCCTCCACTGGAAGTCTCATGACATCTTGTGATGGTCAGCATGGAACTCCGTCCATTAGATGGGGTAGAATCATCTTAGGATGCTAAATTCCTCCTGTCTGATGAGGTCCTTATTTTTACTCACACCTATAAGTTTTCCCCGGAAAAGCATTTTCTTGTTAACAACAAGAAGTGCACATATCTTGTTTTAAAGGAGAACCACATTTCCTTCAAGCTTCTAGGATCATTACTAGGACAACAGATACCATATTTTCCAGCGTAATAGATAACCTTTTAAGCCTGGAAAATCTTATGAAAAGTTGGGGGTCATCTAGTACGCCAGATATAAATTAAAATAATAAGTAAAAGAAAAAAAATAAAATCTCCCTTAATGGCGCGGCCTGAGGAGGGAGGGAGGAGGAGGAGGAGGGTGGAGGGAGGGGGCATGGGGAGGAGGAGTGGCAGGCCACATTGTCATGGAGACCAGCTGGGGGTGATGGCCCACTGGGCTTTCCCTGTGACCCCCCACCGCTCTCCATTCAAGGACCTCCTCATCGCTTAAATCCTCCAAAGGCCACTGGGCTTGCCTAGGCCCAAGGAAGCGCCTCCGGACGCCGACTCCCAGCAGTGCTGGGCATTGGCATGCCTTGTATGTGCTGCAAGAGGCATTCTGGGAGCAGTAGGAGCCAGGGAACTACTGCCCAGAATGCCTCTGGGAGCACATCCAAGGCACGCCGCCTCCCAGTGCTGCTGGGAGTCATCCAGAGATGCTTCCTTGGGCCTCTGGAAGATGACTCCCAGCAGCCTGGGCAGTGGCATGCCTTGGATGTGCTCCCAGAGGCAATCTGGGAGCAGTAGGAGTCGGGGAACTACTGCTCCCAGAATGCCTCTGGGAGTACATCCAAGTCATGCTACCGCCCAGTGCTGCTGGGAGTCATCCAGAAATGCTTCCTTGGGCCTCAGGAAGACAACTCCCAGCAGCCTGGGCAATGGCATGCCTTGGATGTGCTCCAAAAGACATTCTGGGAGCCGTAGGAGTCAGGGAACTACTGCTCCCAGAATGCCTCTGGGAGCACATCCAAGGCACACCACCACCCAGCACTGCTGGGAGTCATCCGGAGATGCTTCCTTGGGCTTCTGGAGAGCGGCGGGGGTCACGGGGGCATAGTTTTGGAAGAGGGGTAGTCTTAAATGCCGAGTATATCACTAACTCTGTATTTTATCTTTAAAAGTTGGTGGGGGGAGTCGTCTTATACCCCCAGTCGCCTTGTATGTCGGAAAATACAGTACATATTACTACAATATATGAGATTGTATTTCAAGATTTATGATGACTAGTTCTCACTAAAAGCAACCTTCAAAGGCATATAACAGACAATATTTGACATTTCACATGACACGTGTCATCTATTTCTGCTAGATTGTGTTCAATAAGATGAATTAAATAATCATTAAATATACCTAAATATAATGGTTTCAAACACATTATCTTCATCGGGATTATTTATTAAAAAGCTACACATACCTTTCTTGCATTGTCAGCTAAAAATGCAATTTTAGTATATGGAGATTTGCTATGATTCAGGGAAGCTACAGGACCAAATGCAAAAAGTATTTTGATTTTTTGAGCCAACTGAGGGATTTCTGAAAATGCAATGAAAGCTGGAAGAAAAGAATATGAATTACATTAGCGTTACAAACACCTTCAGGTATAAAATTGCTTATAAATAGAGCTCTACATTTGTTTGGGTAGCATATGGACAAATATAGGGAGATAAATCCAGATGTTGTTCCCCAATAGAAGAATCAATGGGACATAACTAGGGATGCACTATTTCTTGATTTATCAGGTCTACTCAAATGAAACTAATGATTGGATTTGACTCAAACTCTGCACTGATTTTAAAAACTGTGTATTACAAACATTAGGTGAAGCCCTATTCAGTATGTTATCTATAATTGCCCAAAGAATGGTTGGGAATTATTTTTCATATGGAAGAATATGTAGTATGCACTCTTCTTAAGTTCATTTTTTTTGTTCTGAGTTTCACCTAGTATATATTTGTTTGTTTGTTTACAGTATTTATACCCTGTCCTCGCCAAAAAGGAGACTCGGCGTGGCTTTACAGAATACACACATATGGCAAACATTCAATGCCGAAGCTATATCTATTTTAATTGTGTCAAGATATAATACACAGATCATGTAATTTAAGTCCCGTCACGTTTCCCAACTTTTCTAGTCTCACAGCAAAACGTAAACTAGTTTTTATCCCTTTTACTCTAATGAATAATGCTTAGTAGAAGATAAAATTGCAATTGATTTCTACAATGATACAACTGCTTTGAAATTAAAAGTCATGTCAACATATTTCGAAATACAAATTCAGAAAATATTTCTACTCCGCCCTTGGCGTCCGGTAAATTCCCCTGCCTACACATAATGTTAATTACATATTGATCACTGATATCCATTTTCTTTTATGATTTCTCTTTCGCTTTTGGTATGTGTCATAGTTTAATAATTATTCTAAAACTTACTCTGTTTCTATGTGCTACATTTAAATTGAGTAACTTAAATGTAGCACATTTAATAATTGCATTCCCGGCCATCACATACAATTATTCTCTATACTTGGAGGAGTTCCAATGAATCTAGTGATGAGCAACTATGAACAAGCAGAGCTAGATCTTGTGTTAGTCCTTCCTAGTTTAAACACTCTGAAATGAATAGCTGAGCATCCCTTGTCTTAAATCCCAAAATCTGAAATTGTCCACATGGACACCTAAGAAAGTGGCATATTCGCCTTCTGATGGCTCAATGTACATAAACTTTATTTCATGTACAAAATTATTTAAAACAATTTATAAAAGTATATTCAGACTATGGATATGAGGTACAAATGGAATGTAGATGAATTACATGCTTAGATTTCATTCCCATCTCCAAAATATCTTATTACGTGTGTATATGCAAATGCAAGGGTTCCCTAATCCAAAATATTTCTGATTCCAAGAATTTTGAATAAAGGATATTCAACTTTTAGTACTTATAAGTTACAATTAACTTAAGCCCCAATTATTCAATGGATCTACTCTAGATATGACTCCATTTGGATTTGGCCCATTAAGTAAGTTATCTTCAGCTATAGAGGAATTACTTATGTAAACAGAAGCCCATGATTACAGTAGAGCAGGAGTATACACTACGCATGTGCTATCCATAAAAAAAGCTGGGGGGGGTGGCGGGGGTTCATTTCTAAAGTGCTTCTAATGTATACGTCGTGAAAAATTCATTACTATAAAGACAGTAATGAAATTTTGTTACTATTTTATTACAGTAATTGCTCATTACAGTAATTGCTCATGCACATAATTAAAGTACTATAATTGGGGAAACTTCAGGGGCTCCTTTCTAGCTCATTTTAAAGCTATTGGACTGAAATTTGCCACAATGGTAGAGCACATTTACCACTCTTAGACCACCAAATTTCAGAACATTTCACTTGTCCTCAGATTTTTGGGGAATTTTCAAATTTTTTTATAAAAAAACATTTTTGAAAAAAAACCACAATAGCTATCTCTACTTGAATTTTATATAGAATGCACAGGATAACCTCAGAAGTTTCAGAAAGATTCACGCATCTACAGATTTTTGGGGTTTTTTAAAAGTTTGGACAAAAACATGTATCCCCAAAAGCCACAACAGCAACCCTTAATGTCTGTCTTAACAGTGTTAACCATAGAACTTCAATTTAGCACAGATTTATACTATTGCTTACATAATTTAGTCCTCTTTGCACATTCAATAATTCTGGGAAATGTAGTTTAGGGCAGGGCCTTTTGCATTCTCTACCATATGGGGCCTCACCTCCCAAACTACATTTCTAAGAATGCTGTATTCTCAGTCTCCCACCCATTAACATTGCTAGTCCCGCCACCAGTGCCTTCCTTATAGCAATCGGGCCAAAGAAAAAGGATTGGTTTTTTAAACACTTTAAGTTCTCTTGGCTTTACTAAAATTGCTTCATGCTTATACTGAAAATTAAATTGACTTTGAGAGGCATTTAAATGTTACAGAATCTTAATGAAAATCATTGGTGAGTGTTTCAATTTCTAAATCTCCCCCCCCCCCTCCACACACACACCTTTCCTGAATGTTTGTAATATTAGTTCATATGCACAATCTAATGAATTTGATCTGAAAAACAAATTAAAAACTAACATTTGTGCACCTCTAATATACACATTTTTTCAGATCAGCATCTGATACCAGGACCACATAGTGCAGGCAGATTTTAATCCTAACCTTAAAGGTATTATTCAATGGACTGAAAAGATTTAGGAATACACATGCTTGTCCATGCTTTAATGCCACCAGTAATCTGATTAGCATAGCAAGATGGCTAGGGAAAAGGGAAAGCTACTTTGGTGTCACTGAAGAAAGGGGAGATGGAGCCTTCTTCCCCCAATATGACAAAGCTCAACTGGCATTGCTGCTCCACAGACACCTGTGGAAATCGTGCTGGCTTTGGGGCTGCAATTCTGATGGATTGGATCCATAACAGCACAGAGACAGTGAGACTAACTGGTTGGATAAGTCTCCCTCTACCCCCAGTTATTCCACTTGACATCAGGAATGCTGATTGTTAGGGCTGGGCGGTTTCGTTTCGTTAATTCGTAATTCGTTAAAAAATCATTATTTTTTTTATAACGAAGCGATAACGAACCATTCTGGAGCAACTTAAAAACGAAACAAATTTTTAAATTCATTTCGTAAATGCTTCGGATTCGTTATGTATTCGTTTTGTTATCGGTTTGAGGTCGTTTCGTTATTATTTCCGCATGTCTGGGGCAAGTTTTATAGTTGTTTTTTTGTTTAATTAGTGAAAAAAAAATATAATATCACACCAACAGTCAACAACAGAGGGAGAGGGAAGCTTCAGAAGTTCCCCCTGTCCCATTTGGAGGTTTTTTAGCGTATTGCGCGGTCGCGTCCGCCATTAACGAATCGATTCGTTATTGTTTCGTTATTGTTTTGTAATTTTTTTACCATTTACGAAATTTCGTAAATATCGAACTTTTTTTTTAAAAAAAAATTCGGAATTCTTTTAAATATCGAAACGCAAAAACCCCCAAAAAACGAATCGATTTTAGAAACAAATTTTTCCCTTGTTACCCAGGCCTACTGATTGTCAAAAGGAGGTGGGAGGGGGGAGTGTGTGTATGCTAGCAGCAGGGACACATGGGGCCAAATCTGGGCCATAGCCTACAAGTTGCTGAGCCCTAAGTTTCTAGAGAGTAAGGATACATCTAACTTAAAAAAGGATCAATCTACACTGCAGAAATAAAGCAATTTGTCACCGCTTTAACTGCCATAGCTCAATGCTATGGAATCATGGAAGCTGTAGTTTAGAGAGGCACCAGCAATCTATAATTCCCATGATTGCAAGGAATTTCTGCTATCAGATGAATTGTTTATTGGCAGGTCATCTAATAGTGTAATTGGATAGGGTAGTAGTTCAATGGTGATTTGATTCCTGGCATTTCCAAGAGCTGGGAAAATGCACTGAAATCTTAAAAATCTGCTTCACAATCAATGTTTTGACACAGTTGGGCCAACAGGCAACTTCCTATGTTCCATTCATTTATTTATTTTTTTTATAGAAAGAAGTCAAACCCCAGAGGATGATCATGTTCAATTTTAAGGTAATTTCAATGAAGTAAGCTCAGCTCAGTGGGTTAAACCGCTGAGCTGCTGAGCTTGTTGATCAAAAGGTCACAGGTTCAAATCCGGGGAGTGGCATGAGCATCCACTGCTAGCTCCAGCTTCTGCCAACCTAGCAGTTCAAAAACATGCAAATGTGAGTAGATCAATAGGTACCGCTCCGGCGGGAAGGTAACGACGCTCCATGCAGTCATGTCAGCCACATGATCTTGGAGGTGTCTACGGACAATGTCGGCTCTTTGGCTTAGAAATGGAGATGAGTACCAACCCCCAGAGTCGGACACAACTGGACTTAATGTCAAGGGGAAACCTTTAACCTTTAAGCTCTATTAAAGTTGTCATGTGCAACCTCTTTAAACACACACAATTCCTTACATGTTTAAATACCGAATTGCATTCCCATCACTAATCTATTTCCAGCTTGGCTCAATAGCAATGTGCAAATTCCACAACATACCTATAGTGGCGCCCTGAGAATGGCCAATGTAAAATATCTTTTTCTGTCCAGTTTTAGATAGAACAAAATTTATAATGGCTGGGAGGTCATTCATCGCCATTTCATGAAAGCTGCAACAAAACAAAAAGAACAGTGTTACTCTGCCATAGCAATATGTGGTAGACTAGTCAAAATATAGCATGTTAGCGGTGGTATTTCATTCATTCATTCAATATTCTCTAGCAGTGAAAGATCTTGAGGAATTAAAGCCTGAGGCAGCATCGCAATGAGAGATTTTGGTCCCATCCACACATTACTTCTTAGAAAAGATCCGACAACTAAACAGTCAGAATTTAAAACACAGCTGAGGACCGATCTCTTCTGGCAGACCTACTTAGTCAGTTTTAGCTATGACTTTTAAATCATATCCAATGTTTATTGTGTTTTCATTTTTGTCTCGTATATTTCAATATGTGTATGTTTCATTTATGTTTTTAGTTGCATTTAATTATGTTTAAATATGTGATTTCATAGATGTGTTTAATTATATTGTGAGGTGCCTCAAGACAAAAGGAGAGGCATGTAATAAATAATAATTTATTATATTATTATTATTTTACACTTCCATGTCATATTGATATTCCTACTGACAGTGAGCACACAATAAATACTATTAAGCTTACCAAGTTCAGCCACAAGTAGAGCTCTGGGCTTCCTTATACTCATGCCAAAATCAAATTCAGTGAACATTATGATGTCCCTGTGAATTCTCTGGATTAGATGGAAGTCAGGTAAGATTGTCTTCATTGGTTGTACAACATAAAATTCCACAAGTACAGTATTTCTCTCATGGATCTTTAGTTTGTACAGTAGTTTGTCTTGGACTTACTATGCATTTATTGTTGTTGACCGACTTACAGAGATCTATGAATGGGAGACTTTCAAATTACTCCGTTCTCAACAGCCATTGCTTCCCCAGTTGAGTCTATCCATCTAGAATGTGGTCTTCCTCTTTACTGACAAACTCATAGGATGGGCCACCAGAATCACCACGCATCATGGCAAATTTGGTCGTGCTTGGTGATGGGGGGAACCCATCCTCCCATGCCCAACATCACCTGGCTCCCCCCTACCTTATCCCATGAGGGAAGCATCCACTGCCCAGATTCCCCCTGTTGAATCAAATGTAGCAAAAGAAGCCTCCTGTGTTGCTCAAAAATGGCAGTGGCTGCCTCCCTGCCATATGCAGTGACTGTATGAAAGCATTAAGGGTGACGCTGTACAACTGCAGTAGAAGAAAACCCATTCATCAGGATTTGTGTACTTAATGCGGTCCCGATGGTGAGCTGAAGGGGCGCCTCACCGGGAAGGTGTAAGTGATGGGCGGAGCATCCGGAGCACCCGGGGTATGGAAAAAAGAGATAGTGGCTTTGGGCCCAGAAAAACACACATCTTTTACCTGTCTGGCCCACCCTTGTATCCTAGTACCGTACCACCTCCTCTGCTTCTCAGATCTCGCTCCTGAAGACTGAAGTGAAGTGGTGCAGGTGCGCAGGTGCGAGATCGGAGAGGCAGAGGAGGTACAGTAATAGAAAAATTACCATATTGAAATCAAATCTGATGCTTTTTAATTTTTTATTTGGTGTGTGTTGGAAGAGGGGTAGTTTTATACGGCGAGTATATCCCAAACTCTATATTTTAACTGGAAAAGTTGGGGATCATCTTATACGCCCAGTCGTCTTATATGCCAGAAAATATGGCAATCTTCTTGTCTAAAGCTCTGGCCTCAGTTTAGTCACCCTGGCTTTTAAGGAGAGTCCAGGTCTCATTGGATTGAAGACCCATGTATTTGACTTTTTAACAGTCCATGTATCCATAGAACATATCTCAAATGAGTTCATTCTCACCATTATATAACCTTAAATGAGATGCCATCTTTGTGCAACTCTGAGAGAGTTCAATCAGTTCCATAGCATCATTTATGACAGTATAAAGTCACAAGAGATAGTTGTCTTAGCAGTAAAACTGACACAACCCTTTTTCCATCAACAAGATCTGTTTGGCCAGGATAACAACAGCAGCAGTGAAACCTTAAGCATTCTGGCAGAAGGAGAAAGGAAAAAAATCAGAACTCTTCTGTTCTCTGCCACTCATAATGTTGTGACACTTGGGGCTTTTCCAGACAGCCTCATAATCTGGGAGAAATAAGTGGAGCAAAAAATCCTGGTAACTGACAGCAAGTCCAAACATGGAGCTGTCAGTCCCAGTAAATGCTCCCCCGGTCTCCTGGCATGTTAGTTTGTAGCAGATATTAAAAATCCACAAAATGAATGTGAGACATCTACTGGATTTTTTTCTTTTAATTTTTTAAAAATTGATTCTCTGAGATGTGCATCTCTAAGCACTGTGGCAGATCTCCGAATGTGCACACAAGCAGATTTCTTATCATTATCTCTTCTCACCCGCCTGCTGCCTTTACTTTCCCCCTCTTCAATCCCATTTCCCTTTGGGGTCACTTGCTTGCCATGCTAGTACCCTCTATGTAAGTTCAAACTCTGTTTAATTTCGTAAACAAATGAACAAAGGGATGCTTGCAGAGAGTTCTCATAGGAATTGCTTTCCAATTGTGTTTCGGTTTAGCCACCTGTGTGTTCATGGTTCCATTTGTTTACAGTCTTAATCAGCTGTTTCGGGATTATAAAATGCTCATATGTGCTGGATCAGCCCACACCAGTCAAGTGTTTTCCTTGAGTGCAGGGATATATAGTGATGCAAATATGCACATTTTCTGGACAAAATTGGATTTTAAGTACATCTTTTTAACACGTTTTAGGCCAATAATGCAATCCAGCATGTATTTTGGCAAACATCATTTAGCCCCTCCCCCTTTATACTGGTTTTGTCCACATTAGAGTATGTTGGAGACATAATACTATTTTTTCCATAGGGAACAGCCCTCTTCATCAATTCTCTCTGCCTCTGATTGATCACTGTTTTTGCTGTTGTTCCAGATGAGAAGAAAGTTTGAGATGATCTGTTGATGGGATTCCTTTTCAAGTAAGATTGACTTTTAAAAAGACATTTTGTAATTTTTAAATACTTGGACTTGCTTTCCAAACCAATTCAACATGAGTAGGAGGAACATGACAGCCTCTAATAAACATTTCAGAGAACTATGTAATTAGAATTGGTGGAATTGTATCTGGTAGAAAAAATCTGAAGGATTACACATGACAAAAGCTCGCTGTATGTTGAAAGTAAATACATTAAATAAAAGTCAATGTTTAGTCTCGTGATCTATCTGAAGGCAATCACACAATACCCAACTATCTGAGACCAAGACCCATTGAGCATTAGTCACAATTATATTCTGATGTAATATGATCAATAAGCACACCATCTTTTATTGCCTTTTCAATATTTGACCAGGGATAGAATTAGTACTGTAGAGTTAATGTAGTTTTCAGTACTTTGACAGCCATGGCTCAATGCTATGGAATCATAGGAGTTGTTGTTTTACAAGTTCTTTAGCCTTCTCTGCCAAATAATGCTAGTGCCTCATCAACTTCCAGGATTCTACAGCATTGATCCATGACTATTAAAGTGATGTCAAACTGCATTCATTCTACAAAGTAGATATGCCCCAGATCCAGTCGTCTTGTGAAGTAAAGTCCAGGGTATGTTTTAAATTTATGAAGATTTATTCATAAGCTTTTATGATTTAACTTTCCACCTCCCAGTTTTAACTACTTTCTTTTAGGTTGTGTTGGGGTTCAGCAAAGGACTGGGGATTTCTCAAAAGATGAGGGGGGTGATGGGTTTCAAATTGAGGAGCCTAAATGTGATCAGGGAGAATTGCAAGCAGTTGAAGATGAGACAAAGGATGTTTTGGATTCCAATGTTCATTCGTTAGCAAGAAGTGAAAGCTCAATTTCTCTTGGGAAATGACTTTCAGCTTATGGGGAGTTTTCCTGTGATATCAGATTAGGTCTCCAGATGGAGGGAGTGAAAGATAGGTTAATTCGGAGAGACTCTTGAGAAGTCCTTGAAATCCAGATGTGTGAGGCATGATCTCATGGCTTCTTGGTCAGGCTTGGGGTTAAATTAAGTGGTGTTTACTTGGTGGCTCTCAGAGGAGACAATGTTGCCATAAGGTGTGTGTGTTCCTGTCGCAAGTTTCCTATATTTGCCTATGTTCCTGGAAGGGTTTGCCTTGGACAAAGTTCCTGTTTTTGTGGTCATGGATTTATGCCTGTGATTTTGACTCTATTGACTCCATGGACTTTGCCATTTTTGGACTACTGCTCTTTTGTATATCGACTGCTGCTATTTTTTAGTTCCTTTTCTTCTGCTCTTTAGGGAAATGCCTTTTTTTCTATTTGTACATGCGTTTCTTAATAAACTGATGTAGTTAGTACTACTGGACTCTGACGTGGTACTGAGTGAAAACGTGCCTCAATGCTAGAGTGCAACAGGTTGAAACCAGAGGTATATGGGCTGGGATTCTCTCATAGAGAAGCTCTCCATAGACTTTTAAGAAAGCTGAATTCAAAATATGTAAGGCAAGATGTGATCACCAAGCTTCTCTTCCCACCAAGTGGTATAATTGCATTTCATAAATGTAGGCCGGTTCAGCAGTTGTTGGCAAATTTGGGGAAGAGATCCTTGAGGGAAAAGCAAGGGAAAGCCATAACTTGCCTTGAAAAGAGGAAAAGATGGATGCAATGCAAAGACTAAACAAGTCATCCAGAAGTACTTGGAGTGGCTTTCATACCTTATGAAGCACGGCAAAGGTTTCCTATCTAGAGGACAACCTGTTCACAATTAATATCTTAAACTATATATAAAAATAAAAGTTACATTGAAAAGTTGAGCAGTCATTTTTAAAATAACGGGTGTTAACTGGCAATTTTTAGAACCATGAAAGCTTATGAATAAATCTTCATAATTATAAAATCTACCGATAAGTTATATTTTGGCAATTTAAACTGCAAGTAGAACCACAAATCAATTACACTATGTAGCAAAATTTAAAAAATTCTGCACCTGGTTTGAAAGTGTTATTTTCTGTTTTATTGTCTGGTACTTCCTTTGAAAGTAGTTGTTATACTCCAGAAACTTTGGGTTTTTGTTTTTTTGGTTTTTTTTTTTGCTTCCACAAATTATGTTGAATTGGTTGAGACTCAATGAGATACTCTCTGAAAAACTAGAGCAAAATGTGCTGCAGGATGCCCCACAATAAACTAAGTTTTTTTGCGGTTTAATAAACTTTTTCCATATTGTTTTGATAGGGCTAATTAGGATATGGCATTTATAACCCAGGAACAAAAAATGTGTTACATAGCATTATACATATATTGTATAAAAGCTTTATAAAATGAACAAATATAAGAACACTCTAGCACCCAGTTCCTAGTCATTAATTCAACTCACCTGAAATCCCAAAACTGCTCTTTGTCTATTGAAAAATTCTGGTGTCTTTTACACCATCTGCATCCTCTATTATTTCCCAGCCAGACATCAAAGCCAGCATCTGCTAGTACAAAACCCAGGCTGTCGTTGGGCATATTAGCTACCCAGGATCCACCATTTGTAAGTAAACCAGGCATAACTAACACAACAGTCTTTGAAGCTGAAAACAAAACAAATGGGTATAAAATAAACTTTCAACAAGGGAAACAGCCATTCAGAATTTCAGATTTTAAATATTATAGTCTGAGGATGCATGATGCAGCTCCTTAACAAGACCTGTGTTTAGACAGGAGTTAGTCACCCAGCAGAAGAGAAGGCAATAAACTGTTGTTAGTGGGATGGGATGGGGGGTGGTGGTGGTGGTGTATAGTTTTACTGTAATTTTAATTGCATTTAATTGTATTTTAATTTTTGTGCTTTATGATTTGTTTTCATGTCAGGAGTGACTTGAGAAACTGCAAGTCGCTTCTGATGTAAAAAAATTGGTCGTCTGCAAGGGCATTTTAATTGCATTTAATTGTATTTTAATTTTTGTGCTTTATGATTTCTTTTCATGTCAGGAGTGACTTGAGAAACTGCAAGTCACTTCTGATGTAAAAAATTTGGTCGTCTGCAAGGGCATTGCACAGGGGATGCCCAGATGTTTTGATGTTTTTACCATTGTTGTGGGAGCCTTCTCTCATGTGTCCACCTGGGGAGCTGGAGCTGACAGAGAGAGAACATCCGCGCTCTCCTTGGATTCGAACCTCCGACCTATCGGTCTTCAGTCCTGCAGGCACAAGGGTTTAACCCACTGCGCCACCGGGGGCTTCTGCTTCATTGTACAATGATTTAATTGTTTTGGAAAGTTCATACTTATATTTATTGACATCATGTTTAATTTGTGTTGTGTCATTTTGGGAGAAAGGCAGAATAAAAAGGAAGAAAATAAATAAATAAATAAATAAATAAATAAATAAAGAATTTAATTTAATCTAATAAATTATATGGATATGCAGGATTCAGAAATAAAATTGGACATCAAAACACTTCATTTTAAAATAAAATTGTTTTCCTCATCTCCATTTCCTAATTTGTCCAACTGGACAATTTAATCACACCCCACATTCTATTAATATTTTTAAAGCATTTCTATTTCACTGATTTACAACGGAGTTGGAATTCAGCCTGTGTTGGTGTTTCAGAATCACGGTGCTTATGATGTGGGAAATTATGTGGGAAATGATTGCACTGAGCTTCAAGATGGAGATGGTATGGTCAGTGATATTCATGCAGAGAATGACAGAGAGATGCCAGTTCAAAGGACAGTTTCTCATGAGAATGTTCCTGCAGGGCATAGGGATGATGGTTTACTCCCTGACACTGTGAACTCCCAAGATTTAGGGTTTGAAAACAACCTGACACCTGGAGAATTTAATCAACCGCAAGATAAGGAGCTCATAGACGGCTGGAGTTCAGCCAGAATAGACAACTAAGTCAAGGGTTAAGTTGCTCCTCCAGGCTCCAAGAGATAAGAGCCAGGAGCAATAGCTGAGGAAAGCGAAACCAGTTTCTGAGTGTTGGGATATAAGGTTTGCCTCAAGGGAAATTTGTTAGACGAAGCATCATTTCAGAAACTTAGTTCTTGTTCCATGGAAGCCTTGCTTGGAAGATTCATGTTAAGGGTACTTGTTCATGGTTGGACTTCTTGGTCTTTTTGGATTTGATTACAAAGTCTGGATTTTGGCTTTGTGCATTGTTAAAACCTGCCTTGGATTGTCTTTGTATTTTGTTGAACTCTACTTTGGAATACTTTGTTCCTGCTGATCTTTTTACCTTATTGGGACTTCTTTGCTTTCTTAAAAGCATATATTTTCAACTGGCTGTTTTACTAAGCTTCAATAAAAAAAAAGGATTGCTTTCCTATTCATCGTGTGGTGTTTTAAAGTCAGAGGGTTATTCCTGTCCTGGAGTGCATCAAACGGCTGATTAAACAAACTATTTTGACGATCAATAACTTTAAATAATTTTAATTCAAGTTAATGTTTAATGCATTTCAATATTTTAATGTTTAACAGTTTCAAGGACACAAATAATTTAATTGCTTTTTAATTTTTATATTTCTACTTTTGAGCATTTATTTTCTTTTTAATCTGCATTGTTTTCTATTTAGTGTTAGCTGCCTTTGGTACTTACCTATATTAGAGGCTAAATATAAATAAATAACATAAAAATAGTAATTCAAAGATTTCTTCAGTAAAAAACATCAAAACAGAAATAAAACATTTAGAAGGAAAACCAGTATAAATCAATTTTACATGATTTCTTTGAATTAAATAAAGCAAAAATGATGAAATACCTGTCATCTCTATTTTTTTCCTGCCGTGTGGAATTCTGTTGATTGGGAGAAAATAGCCATCATCGGTAAGGATTTCATACTCTTCATTAGGGTAGCCTTGGTACTGGATAACTTCACTCTGTACATAGATACCCCGTCCAATCATAATTGGAAATGTGAGTAAAATTCTTTTGATGTGGGTATATATTCAGTGAGAGGGGAGGCAACTGGGCAAGACTACTTTTTGTCACCACTGGGGAAAATTTTATAGTTTGACTAAAACAGTGGTCCTCAAAGTATGCTCTGCAGAGCTCTTGGGGCTCCATGAAGCATACTGAGGGGCTCCACACTTCCCTCTTCCTCCTCCTCCAAGCTTTCCGTCCTCTTTCTTGCTCCTCCCCCTGCCTCCCTCACCACCAAAAGCCTTTTCCCCCTTGGCTTCCTCATGCTAAAAGTTTTTTTTCCTTGTCTTCCTCACTGCCCAAATCCTTTCCCCCTCACCTTGCTTGCTTCCAATGCACTATACCCTCCCACAGCTCAGAGGATGCTTTGATTGATTTTTTCCTGCATGGCAAAAGAGAATTAAACTGGATGACCCCTGGGGTTTCTGTTGTTGTTACAAAGGCTGGATGTCCATCTGTTGGGGGTGCTTTGCTGTACTTTTCCTGCATGGAAGAAGGATTGGACTGGATGCCCCCTGGTGTCTTCCACTTAAATACTGTTCAGTTTATGTTGGATAAAATTATTCTTCATTTTAAATATTATATTGTTCTTTCTTTTTCTTTTTTTGCACAACAAATGAGATATGTGCAGTGTTAATTTTTTTCCAGTAGTTCACACAAACACTCTCCATCCATCTTCCACTGGCCTGGCCCATCATGTGCATGTCCATGCCTGATATATATACATTATATATACTTACTTACTTAGGGGATCCCTCATTATCTGAGTAGGATGGTCCTCCAGGGTCAGTGAGCAGTGTTTTGGTGGGTCCGTAGGTGACTGTGGAGCCCTATTCTTCATCTGCATCTTCTCCCGCAGTGAAGGCATCAGTTTCTAGACGGAAGATGGTCCCGGTGGGGGTTGGCTTGACACGCCTTCCTCTTGGCATTTTTCTCTCTTTTGCCCTCCATTTGTGCCTCTTCAAATTCTGAAGCACTGTTGGTCACAGCTGAACTCCAGCTGGAGTGCTCAAGGGCCAGGGCTTCCTAGTTCTCAGTGTCTATGCTAGAGTTGTTAAGGTTGGCTTTGAGCCCAGCTTTAAATCTCTTTTCCTGGTCACCAACATTCCATTTTCCGTTCTTGAGTTCGGAGTAGAGCAACTGCTTTGGGAGACGATGGTCAGGCATCTGGACAATGTGGCCGGTCCAGTGGAGTTTATGGCAGAGGATCATCACTTCAATGCTGGTGGTCTTTGCTTCTTCCAGCATGCTGACATTTGTCCACCTGTCTTCCCAAGAGAGTTGCAGGATTTTCCAGAGGCAGCACTGATGGAATCCTTCTAAGAGTTGCATGTGACATCTGTAGACTGTCCACATTTCGCAGGCATATAGCAGAGTTGGGAGGACAATAGCTTTATAAACAAGCACCTTGGTATCCCTATGGATGTCCCGGTCCTCAAACACTCTCTGCTTCATTTAGAAAAATGCTGCACTCACAGAACTCAGGCGGTGTTGTATTTCAGTGTCAATGTTGACTTTTGTGGAGAGGTGGCTGCCAAGGTAGCGGAAATGGTTAACATTTTCTAATGTTACACCATTAAGTTGGCATTGGAGTGGGATTGGCTAGCGACTGCTGGAAGAGCACTTTGGTTTTCTCCAATAAATATTAAACATTTATTGTGGCTCCATAAGAAACCTTTGCTTCAAAAAGGGTTCTGTGGCTGAAAAAGTTTGAGAACCCATGCACTCAAAAATTGGGGCACAAAATTGCCTACTCTACACCATTCTGTTCCCTCCTCTAGGATCTCACAGTATGTGGAAATAATTAGTAGGAACAGGGCAAGTCGATTTGCCTGGGGAGGCACACACTGACAAACAGTGCAACAAAGATGATATCATCACAGTTTTTACTGATGCCAGCAGTGATGTCACCAACTTCTGCTCTGTAAATTTGAGATTAAAATTTCATAGAATTCCTCTCATATGAAATAAAACAAAGATTTTATATAGCTCATGGGAAATATTAACAGAGTCTGGTTTTTTTTTTTTTTTTTTGGAAATTCATGTGGTTCTTCTAAACTCTATATTTGCACTGTGATGATTTTTTTGTACAGAAAACTGCATACAGTTGACACTCTGTATCACTAGATTCCATATCCATGGGTTTAATGAGCATAAAAATATTATTTTAAAAAATTCCAAAAGCCATTCTTGATTTTTCCATTTGATAGAGGAGACACTATTTTACTACAACATTGCATATCCTGGATCTCGAGCATCCATGGATGTTGTTGATATCTACCAGAAGTCTTGGAACCAAACCCTAGCAGAGCCCACTGTATATTTATTCACAAAATAATCCCATAGAATTATTCTTCAACAAAATGTAATGCATACTTCTTCTTATATTACAGGGCAATGAATAGAAAATAACATTCCTCTTGATCACCCCCCCCCCACTCAGAAATGGGAAGGAAGATATAATTGGTGTGATTGTCTCTAACATGACATGAGAAGCATACAAAAACACTCACATATATGTAGTAAAGGTAAAGATTTTCCCTTGATATTAAGTCTAGTCGAGTCTGACGCTAGGGAATGGTGCTAATTTCCATTTCTAAGCCGAAGAGCCAACTCCTAAGTCATGTAACCAGCATGACTGCATGGAGCACCATTACCTTCCCACCAAAGTGGTGCCTATTGATCTACTCACATTTGCATGTTTTAGATCTGCCAGGTTGGCAGAAACTGAGGCTAACAACAGGAGCTCATCCCATCCCGCAGATTCGAACCTCCAACCTTCTGGTCAGCAAGTTTTGCAGCTTAGCTTAGCTCTTACATTTTATGGATGTAAAAGAAATGTTTATGGATTTGTTGTATTACATCTTTGTTAGGAAGATATATTAAAACTGGCAATGTGGAGCACAGACTGCAATAGATTTTTTTCCTCAGACATGAAATAGATAATAGACTTACAATATTCATGAATATCTCAGGGTCCACCTCTCGCTTTTTCCTTAAGGATTGTTCTGATTCCATAAAGCCCATGATAAAAAAAGATAGCGCAATAAATGAAAACATCTTATCTGTAAAAGAAAAACCTCAGTGTAATTAGAAATGTTTTTTATTTTTTTATTTTTTTATTTACCATATTTATATACCGCCCTTCTCAGCCCAAAGGTGACTCAAGGCGGTTTACAGACGGCAATCAATGCCCCCAACAACATAAATATAATTTAAAACATTAACATGTAATATAAGTCATATAAAAACAGTAGGAACAATAAAAACAATAAAAATACAAGTCCTCAACATCTCATTACTAAAATCATTATCCAGGTGCATTGTCCAGTGGTTCCATGGATCTAAATTAGACTGCTACACTGCATTTGCAAACGCTTCCTCAAAAAGCCAGGTTTTAACTTTTTTTTTTTTTGAAATGTTAGGAGGGAGGGAGCTGATCTGATATCCCTAGGTAGAGCGTTCCATAGCCGAGGGGCCACCACTGAGAAGGCCCTGTCTCTCGTTCCCACCAATCGCATCTGCGAAGGAGACGGGACTGAGAGCAGGACCTCCTCAGACGATCTTAAGCTCCTAGCTGGTTCATAGGGAGAGATACATTCGGACAATTTGTAGCTTTTTCTCATGACAATTTAAAGATAGTCTATGCTTTGATTTGTATCCTGAAATTGGTCATTCAAAAATTGTGCCTCATACTGGCTATAATTTTTTTTTTAAAAAAAAAAGTCTTCTTTTGTGTCAGTTGAATCCAGGAGTGCAATTCCATCTAGCACAAGCTGAATCCTTATTCCCTGATCTGCCTTTCCACTAATCAGGATCACTTCCATCTTGTCAGGAGTAAGTTTTCATTTAGCAGATTTACCAGAACTAAAAGTCAGATTACCAGAAGTCAAAGCCAGAAGTTCTTAAGTAACAAACTGAGAAAAAGCAGTCATGTCCTATGACGAGAGCAAACAGTCATTAGAGTCAAGCCAGGTATCTACATTGTCCACTGCAAAAGAGGCACAACTCTGAAGGCTTTATCTCTGAATATCTCAGCCAGTGCTTGATTAACTATAGTTTCTCAGCTAATCTCTGAGACCTGTGATACTCTACCCACTCTTTCTAATGCTTTAGATATTTGGGTATGGTTAACCATTTTGTAGCTTGCTTAGATCTCCCTGGGGAGGGAATTCCAGAGACGAGGTGCCACCACCAAGAATTCCAGAGACGAGGAGCCACCACCGAGAAGCCCTCAGTACCCTGCCATAATGTGGCTACATAATCTATTATGATATTTTGTTATAGATTCAAATGAAGAAATATCACAATTTTGTTAAATCACTAAATTTCTGTTCCTTTAATAGAATTGTTTGAATTTTTGATGTTTTCTGCTTTAAAAGGGGGAGGGGGAGGATGTCGGATAAGAATGAAAACAGTTAGCAACAGGGAAACCAGCAAATACTGCAGACATGTAATAAGTAATAATGTAACATTTTTATTTCTAACGACTAAATGCCATAATTTCCTGATGCTACCAGCCCCCCTCATTCTGCCTGTTGCCATGATATAAGGTCCCACCCAAGGAGGCATGCAGTGACTGAACCACGCAAGGCAGACTACTGGGAGCTGCTGGCCTCTGTCTCCTGTAATGGCCCTTCTAGTAACTCCTCATCTTCTCTATCTGAGCTGGACATGACATGATGTTAGTCATAGGATCACATTTCTAGCTTGTATAATAATGATGAAAATGAATTCACTGCCTTTTCCTCTCAGGCTTAAGGTAGCTTGCAAAACAATTTCAGATAAAAACACCCAAAATGATATAGGTAAGTTATATTAAACTACATATTAACATGCAATTGTTATAGATGTGTATATATATAGTCATTTGATGCAAATTCAGTAACAAAGCAAAGTATAAAAATCAGCACACTAGTAAAAGGTCTGTCACTATTGAAGAGTTTTTCATTTGTCAACAAGAAGGAAACAACTGTGAGAAGGGAAAGCATTTTAGATTCTGGGAGGAACAACCAAGAAAGCTTCCCATAAGTTACCACTAAACAGCTTCTTTAATCCTGGTTGTCCCCAAACCCGAACCCCATCAATATGACCATTAACTCTTTTTCTCCCAATGGAAGGATTGGGTTATTAGGTCTCTGGATGACCTGTTCACTGTGTTGTTCTATGCATTATTTAAATTTGATATGCTTGACCTGAAACTAATTCAGGCTTGATATAGAGCCAGATTATTTTAATACAGCATATTAACCTCTAATATATATATATATATATATATATATATATATACACATATACACACACACACACACACACACACACACACACACATACACACACACACATTCCAAGCACCTCCTCAAATTCACAACCCCAGTCCAATGGACTATATTGAAGGCACAAAGTCTTCCTCTTGATGCCAAAAGACTGGTTTGAAGGCACTTAAGATTCCTCAATGTCGTCCAGATGAGCTGGGCATGAAATATGAATCCTAAGAGTATAAACTTGAGAATTGGTGCTAAGAAATGACTTGACCAAGGGCTTTGAGCCAAGCCTTTCGCATGTCCAACTTTTGAGCTTTTTTTGAGGTAAGAAGGAAACCAAAGTGTTGTTTTCCTCACCAAGAAGGAGTGGAGCCAAACAATTGAGCTGGGGGAGCAAGCCAACTGATGTAAATAACATTGATTGACAGCTGTAGATAACCAATCAATTCAACTATACATTTACAAGGTAAACAGGCAAGTCTGGACATGTTACAACAGTTCAAACCTTTGCAACTTAAGTTTTACATACAGATGGCACCAGTTGCGCCGTCACAGTTGGTGTCAGACAGATTCTCCCAGAAAATATCTTGACTTTTGATATAATCAGTTCCCTTGCAGCCCCATTTCACAGCCTCTCTGAATAATGATTGGCTGCTTTCATGCCAAGTTTGCCTAGTGCCTCCTTCACTATGTCTATGAAAGTGATAAGCCAGAACAAAAAAGATCTTTGAGTTTAAACAGGCTCATATAGAAAGCTATGATCCCTCATCTAGTCTGGACAGAAGCCTGTTTGTACTGCTTCAGGCTCCACTCATAAAGAAATGTGAACTAAAGTCTGTGGTTTGTGTAGATTTTCTAACCATATGTTTAAAATTTAGGTTCCCAAGGGCAATACATAAAATCACAGAAGCTTTTCAAGTCGAGGTGGTTCCAATTCTAGTTTGGAGGTAGTTGGAAATTTGGTGGTTTGTAGACCTCATAACTGAAGACTGTTTCTGTGCCAAATCTTAACTTTATGGAGTTATCACACACACACACACACACACACACACACACACACACATATATATATATATATACTGAGGCAGCAATGGGATAGTGGTATGAGCAGAGGTGGCCCTAAGTAATTTTCAACGGTAAGCAAACAGTATTTTGCCCCCCCCAACCAATCATTGATATATATTTTCTGTTCATCGTGGGAGTTCTGTGTGCCATATTTGGTTCAATTCCATCATTGGTGGAGTTCAGAATGCTCTTTGATTGTAGGTGAACTATACATCCCAGTAACTACAGTTGCCACACTTGCTCCGCTTTGGGTCCAGAGGCATGCCTGCAGACCCTGGTGTGTGCACCAAAAGTCACCTCTTCTCCTGACTTTCTCCTCAGCCATTGGGACCAAGAGAGAGAGAGAGAGAGAGAGGTGGAGATGCCCACCTTTCCTGAAGGTAGGCACAAAAACAAAGGAGGGAGCGGAGGTGGGAGATACCTCCAGCCGGAGGGGCTCTCTCTCTCTCTCTTGGTCCCAATGGCTGAAGAGAAAGTCAGGAGAAGAGGTGACTTTTGGTGTGCATGCTGGGGTCTTCAAACATGCCTCCAGACCCGAAGCGGGCCAGCCACAGTGGCTCGGCCCCTTGGCCCACCCGCGGATTGGGGAGGGGAGAGGAGTTGGGTGGAGCGCTGGAGGATCGGGGAGCCGGTCATGGGGAAGGGATCGAACACGGAGAATGATTGACCACCAGCTCTGCTCGTGCACCCGGTGGCCGGGTGGAGCAGGAACGAGAGGGGCTAGGCGAGGCTCAAGGGCCCGGCCCCTTTGGGAAGAGGATCGCCCGGCAGCGAGGCAAGAAAGCCGAGGCTCCCCCGGACTGCTAGGGCTGTTGTGAGCTGAGGGGGCGCTCCTCAAGTGGCGGTCGAGGGGCATTTACAGAGCTGCCTCGGCACTCCTCAAGTGGCAGTCGAGGGGCATTTACAGCGGCGCCTCTGCACCCCTGGCAAAAAAAAGTGTTCTGCGACCGCTTACTTCGCGTAATGGATGAGCCGCCCCTGGGTATGAGCAATGGATTACAGTGCTGGACACCAAGCTTCAAATCCTTGCAAAAACATGGAAATTTACTGGGTGAACTAAGGGAAGTTTCACACTCACAGATGCAGGCAGACAATCCCAAATAAATCTTCCCAAGAAAATCTCATGATAGGGTTGCATTAAGGCAGAGGTGTCAAATTCATTTTCATCGAGGTCTACGTCAGCCTTATGGCTACCTTCAAAGGGCTGTTGAATCCATGGATGGAGAATCCGTGAATACAAAGGACCAACTATAATTTGTTTACAGAGTGGTCAACGCCCTTTAGTTATTACCCAGTTTTGGAACCTGCGTGTCATTGAATGACAGCTCCCACATTTTTTTATTATCCACCATAAGAACTGTGGATACTGGGAATTGCAACCCAACAGCACTTGTGACTCTGAGGTTGGAGAAAGGTTCAATAAGATTTAAGTCAGACATCATATCCACAAGCCTTGTATCTAAATTCAAACCCCACTATCCTGACTAAACAGAACAATTTGGAGCCCTCCAAGTGTCACTATCTCCAAAATCCTGTCAGCTCTAGTCATGATGTCTAATGATGAGAAATACAGTAGTTGTAGCCCAGCATCTGGAGGACCACATAAAACTCAAAGGCACATGAGTTTGACACATGTACCTTAGAGTCTCCATAAGTCAAAACAGCTAGAAGGCACACATTAAGAACAAATAATGCCATCTGAATGGTTCTCACATGTTCAGTTCTTTCTTT